TCGCTCCTGTTGTTCCCCCCCCCCAGCCCCATCCCGTTGCAGTTCCCACTCTGCACAGCAGGTGGGTCACTACATGTAAGCCAGAAAACCGGCGACAGGTCAGCCGGCCGAACAAGGCGTCTGTGCGCGCAGGCCGCGCCGGAGGAGCAGCTGATGGCCCTGTCAACAACAAGATCACCAGCGGGCGGGACGTCCCGGCGGAAACGCAGCACGTGGCACTCCACGCCCAATTGCTAATAGCATGTCCGGAGCAGGAGGCAGCCGGGGGGCGGGGCATCCGGCGGGCCGCGTCCCACGCCGTTCACGACGTGTCCGGCGTACCGGAGCCGACAAACGGCCAGCAGAGGACCAGGAAAGGCCCGTGCAGAGCCGAGCGGCAGACCAGGACTGAGCCAGCTGATGCAGCCACCAGCCCCGCGGGCAGGTCCGGAGTCCGAGCCCGAGTCCGAACCCGGGCCCGAGTCCGAACCTGAGCCCCAGTCAATCAGTAAGCAGCAAAACGCCATGGCGGCAAAACCTCAGGGCCAGGCATGCCGGCTCTGAGGTTTTGCTTGCTTGCTATCCGAGGCCCTGGGCCAAGAAAGAGGGCATGCAACACGGACCTGGACATGGCACGGGTGTGGGCACGAGTGGGAGCAAACTTAGCTGACAGCCGAAACCTGGAGGGAGGGGCTTGCAGATCAGGGATGATCACATCCGAGAGGACGACTCACAGGACCAGCGTGGACTCAGTGAGAAAGCAGCATCCGGACTGGGAGGGCTCTCAGTGAACGGAGGCGCTCTGCACCACTACCAACCAGGCATGATGGGCTTGCCCCGTGCCAGATGGTGACAAGCACGCACGACGGGGTTGAGGGTCGGGTTCACGAGCCGGACAGCTCACATTACATTTGGGTTTATGTCATTAGGACTATCGCCGAGATGAGTCGTATTACGAGCTTACAAATTAGCACCGTGTGCATAGATGTGTGAGTGTGGATTATGTCTTAATACATGAGACTCATGAGCGAGTCATTGTAAGAGGAGGAAGCCAGTAATGCGAGCGAGGCATGAACGTGGTGCAAATGGAAATAATTGTCATTGCATCCAGACCCTGATAACCTCCATCAGTTTAATTCGCAACCTGCGCGGGTCTTTGATGAGTGATTAGATTTAGATTAGTGATATATTTGAGAAGTGATTACGTGACTAGCCCAAGTCTTTCCAGAAAATTGTGATGAGAAATGACGGACAAATGCAATTTGACACGTAGCTGTTAACTTGCGATGCACACGACTCTTGGCGTAACCTCAGTGAAAGAAGTGACGCACATTGCACACTATCCTCATTTCATCGGTCATCAATTTCAGCAAAAGCACGAATCTTTACGGATAACTGGAGCCGTGAATGAACTTTTTATTGGACGCGTAGTCGCTCGCCTGCAATGCACGCTGTTTTGATGTGGATCTGGTGGAAAAATAGCGTACATTGCCACGCAGTCTATATCACCGGTCAGTTAACTCAGAAGCTAGCGTAAGTGCTCACGAGAAACCGGAATGTGGAAGGACTGACTCTGTGATTCCACAGTTTTGCTATTTGCGACGCGCATGCAATTTTGGACCAGCTAACGTGCATTGAGGTTCAGTCTGTATTAACAGCTTCCCACAATGCGTCGCATTGAGGTCAGAAAGCCTGCTCGAAAGCCCGGTAAGTCATGTGGGTTGACAGTGCAAGCGTTCATCTCATTTACATTCAAACTCGGCAAGTCGCCAATGCATAATTCGGAACACGAGCGTTGTAATATTCTGCAGGAATTGCCAGCAATTGAATAGATTTTCTGCTTACCGTTCTCTGATTCAACGGAGTCAGCATGCATTTCAAGCATACAGGTTTCATCGTTTCGGACCGCACTTAACGGAGAAAGAGTTAACTGTCATGTCTACGCTGTGGAAAAGCTTATTATTCGTCTGGATTTCCGTTCCACTATGTCAGGAACTTAACCAGCAAGCATATGATAGGACGTGAAATGAATGGAACGGCGCTGAGTAAATGCAACGGCATGCATTTTACAAGTTCTTTTTCGTATGCCTGATTCTGTAAGGCCTCCCGAACCAATGGCGCTGACTAATGCGTTGGAATCATCTCTGAAAGTTAAAGCAAGTCAGTCAGAGTCAAGGAGCTGCTCCCGGAAACTCTTAGTCGTGAATTGTGCGGTTACCTAGGCTTCTTAGCTTGCTAATTACGGCAGGATAACCTCAACAATCTATCTTCAAGGGTGTTTTAGTTCAGATAATAAATGACTGTTAAATGACGCGTGACATTGAGCGACTGTCTAGAATAAAGTGCCCAGCGCTGCCTGGACGACGCAACGAAGTCAGAAAATATCGTTAAACTAACACTTGAAACTATCAATTTTCTAGATGTCAATAGAGGACGGATGAAATAAGCGGCGTGATCCTAGATATTTCACCTCGAAAAGCGATGACGGCCCAGGCGGTCTCCGCATCCTGTCATGCCCTGCATACAACCGTTTGCTTCCCGCGGTAAGTAAGCGGTGAGGGCAATTGCTGCTTAACAGTGATTACATGAGAGCTGCGGAAGGAAGTGACGATTCTAAAAAAAAATCGATTACATTCCTCTCCCTAAAAGCCAAGACTGACAGCCCGTGGTTAAAATGTATTGAGGATAACGCAAAATCTAACGGAATTATCAGCCACCGCATTCAAATACCGTATGCATATAAGAAAAGAATCCATTTATTCCGTCCCCTTCAAGCCGTGAACTCACTTCGGTTGAAGCAAATCGGGTTTATCAAAGCGTCAAGTGCATTATACCGGTACAATGAAGACGATGGCCAAACTTCTGACCATTGATGGAGCAAACGCCTAACGCTAGGCAAACCTGAACTTTCCTTGTTAAGAAGCATGCCGTAGACACGCATCAAACAAGCAAGAGAGTGGTTAAGTCTCATTGAGGATCATTACGATGTAGATCTAGCGCCATGGCAGCTTCAGCACGTGAAAGGCAGATCCCGGGGAATGGCATATATCACGTACTGTGCTGAATGCAGCACAGCCGACATAATATCAAGGTGTGCTTCCACACAAACCAGATTAATAGAGAGAGAGACAGATGATTCTTGGGGCAGTCAGAGGCCGGGAATTCAATATGTTTAAGGTAACAGCTCGATCAGATAGCATTTGTTTGCTTGTTGATGGTCACCAAAGTAACAAACCAGAATCAGATGAGATGGGTCTAGACCGAAGCATGCAATAGCTCTCAAAAGTTGCTCAGTGTCATGTGGCTGCTACGATTACAAAATACACCGACATTTATGGACGAACAGACGATGGTTTAACATTTAGGATTGACTGAAAATGGACTGAAACGGAAACCAAACACTGTCTCTCATCAAAAAAATACAAAATGAGTGACAAATGTGGCACGCTGCCTTCCTTGAATGGTTTCGCACATGATGACCACTTCTGTTTTTCACAGTTCTTCATAAACATGTTTCCCTATTTCCAAACTTATGTAGAAAAAAGTCAACATTCAGACCAGAATGAAGTCAATCAACTTCCTAGGCAGATCATCACCCAAAAGGTTAAGTTGACCGGCACCCGAGTCTGGTCCAAGCAGACTCGAGTGTCGGACCAAGTACAAGTCTCAAGACCAAGTACGCGGTCCCAGCGCACCGTGTACACGGGCCAAGAACACTGTGTTGCAACCAGCCCAGTGGTCTCACCTCCGACCACTGTCTTCTTACCTGCCCAGCGATCTTAGCTCTAACCGCGTGTTCTCACCTGCCCAGCGATCTCAATCCTGGCCACTGTGTTGTAACCAGCCCAGTGATCTTACCTTTGACCATTGCGTTCTAGCCTGCACAGCGATCTCAACCATGACAACTTTGTTCCAACCTGTCCAGCGATCTCACCTCTGGCCACTGTGTCCTAACCTGCCCAGCGATCTCATCCCTGACCACTGCGTTCTAACCTGCCCAGCAATCTCAGCCCTCACCACGGTGTTCTAACCTGCCCAGCGATCTCAGCCCTGTTCACTGCGTTCTAACCTGCCCAGCGATCTCAGCCCTGACCACTGTGTTCTCACCTGCCCAGCGATCTAAGCTCTGGCCACTGTGTTCTCACATGCCCAGCGATCTGACCTCTGGCCACTGTGTTCTCACCTGCCCAGCGATCTCAACTCTGGCCATCGTGTTCTAACCTGCCCAGCGATCTCATCCCTGACAACTGTGCTCTAACCTGCCCAGAGATCTCAGGCCTGTTCACTGCGTCCCAACCTGCCCAGCGATCTCATGCCTGGCCATTGCTTGCTTTAACCTGCTGGCAGTTTCAACTCTGCCCAAGGTCTGCTTTAACCAACTTGGTGATCTCACTCACCGAGCAAGCATTCACTGCGCTAGGCCTATGCTCGTTTGAAATGTCGCCATGAACTGTCGGCACCCACGACATCGCGCGGATTTCCGTCACCAAGAATACATTCGGGTAGTTCAATAACGATTTATTTGCTCGATGTCACATAACTTAGCAGAGTGGCGACCATCAGTGTTTTCGGCGACGTTCAACGCAACGACCTCGGGGCCCCCGCCAGCCGGCTGCTTTCACTTCCGGCGCCATGGCAGGCCTCGCGGCGACCGTAGATCACAAGGTGGGGCACCTCAGTCGCGGAACGGACCAGCGCACGATGAAATGCGTCCCGAATAACGGGTAGTCACATCACGTGTTGTTTTAGTCACGTCACGTGTTGTTTTAGTCACGTCACGCGTTGCTTAGGACACGCAATGCCGATAACACGCCGACGCGTCACGGCGGATTCCGTCAGTAAAATACGAGACCGATCCAGCTGCCTTCTGCGCGACACCGATCCATGACCCATCCCAAACACCTTAGCATAATTAACACATTCAGGCAGACAGACAAGAACTACCAATCCATGGCAAAATGCTAAACCGCTTTCTAGACACCCAGATTAAACAAATAGTTGCTCACAAGCGGCGGAATGTGTATGCAATGATGGCATTTATTGAATATCCGAGCGGAAGAGTAGAAAAGATCAAAGGATGCCACCACGTCATCCCACCTCTAGACGAAATGCAACGCGAAAACGCAACGCAGTTAAGTTTGAGGCCAAATACCTCCGAGAAATTGTCGTCCAAAATGACTGGCGCCACAGCTAAAATCGCCCAAAACGCCATCAATAGGATGCTAGTGGATAAACGACTTTAGTCATATCCATTGAGCTTTGTCCAGATTCGTGACAACTTGTCACGACAGGAAGTGAACAATCCAAGACCAGCTATGAACACGGGACCAATCTGATGACCACCTGTCTCGTCTAACGTCGCATTTTCTCAGCAGTCCAACAAGATCTATCCCGATAAGGACCCACATGATGTTTCCATGGGAAGCAGGGCACGCTGAAGCGACCAGCCGGCGAAATCCGCCATACATGGTTACCGCAACGTACGCGATTAAAAACCAGAGAGCAGGCGAACACGGAGCAGCCCATTACATTAGAAGCATTTACACAAATCTCGGACGCCTCTTCACAATGGCACCTGCCAATGGGCTTTTGGCCGGGAGGACCGGCTGGCCGATGACCGTGTGACGTCGGCAGCGCGTGGCCGGCGGCGTGCCGGACTGGGAGACTGTCGGGCCGTCCGCGCCACCGCCGACGCGGGCGGTGGCCAAGACGGAACGACACCATACATCTGCAGCGGTGGCCGACAGTCACCGAACGAGCGGGCCTCAGCGCCTCCCGTCGCCGACAGTCACCGAACGAGCCGGCTTCGGCGCCTCCCTCAGCTAACAGTTGGTGAAAACCCATGCCGCGGGCGGACGGTGGGGCGCCGTCGGCCTTTAGCCGATTTACACTGTCAGCCGAGTGCAGAACGACTCCTTTGGGCGCTAAAGCCACGCAAGCACGCTGGGCACATGATTTGGAAGTACGCGAGGCACAGCTGATGACCATACGCCGCTTCATTTGAACTAGCCGAGGTATGAGCCGCCCACATCAGTCTCACTTACCAGTGCCGAGCTGCTGAATTTGGAACGAATGCGGATCGCGCAGTAACATTTCACACAAAGCTAGAAACACACCGCATCTCCGAAACAAATCGATTCACGCCGTTCAGCACACATTGCTTCCCGGCCGAGCGCCGGCCGCGCACATCCGCACTGCGCTCGAGCCGGGCCGAGGGTTGACAAGCATTCTATGACACAGGCGTCACCAATAAGCTACGATCGCGGCGTGTCGGCAGGTGTTGCGGCCGGCAGCGGTCGGTGCGGGCGGCGCCCGCGGCAGGCCCGGCGGCCGCCGCCCGTGGGCCGGGCCGGGGCGGCTCGGGCCGGACGCCAAGCCAGGTACAGCTCCTAGTACCTGCAATATCGCAGTCGCGTCAGCGCGCCGCACGGCCCGCCGCAATATCGCGTCGCGTTTCTTTCGGTGCAGAAATGGCGCCTCTCCACTTAATAAAGAGCATCGATCGCCCTCGCAATAACGGCAAACAGGGCAATATCGGCGGGGCCGGCTGTCGGCGGCAGCGTCGGCTCGCCACCCACGGTCCTAATACGGCCGGCTGCCGTTGCCCGGAAGCCCACGGACACGCGGCCGAGCCCGGAGGCCGGCCGCGCCGCTGCTCCGCCCTGCGCGTGTGTCGCGGAGCGTGCGCCTCCGCCGCACTGGTGCCCGCCGCCGCACAGACACCGGACAGGTTTGGGCGCCGCCGCGTCAGCAGGCTGGCTGCGGCGGGCTCACCGCCGCGGCCTAATGCGCCGAAAGGGAACGAAACACGAGCGGGGGATCGGCAGTCTGGCAGTTAACGCGGTTCCCACCCTTCTTGCCCAGGTGGGGGGCAGGCGACGCCAGGCAACTCCAGCTGCTGAATACGCCGTTAAGTCCCAATCATGGCAACGGTAGCTCTTTAAAGGGGGGTCACGCCTCCACACCTTCAGGAAATTTGGAGCCTGGCAAGCCGACTCACGAGCTCCGGCATAAAAACACGCGCCTTAGCCGGACAATGGGACTAAAGCCACCAGATGTTCTGTCTACGAAAGCAAACGCTAACCGTTTTTGAAGCAGATTAAGGACATAAAGCCTGGGGATCTAGGAGCAGTGATACCGACGTCAGCGTATCATTCGTTGTCACGACGACCTATTTCCAGAGATGATTTAAGACATTATTTGTTCAAGACAATCCCGCGCGTCTATTATTAACATCTAATGCAGCTGATGAAGGCGACGGTAAATTCCTCACACACAATTTTAGCACAATGCTAACATTCTAAGTTATGCATCAAGCATTTCAATACGACACCATGCTCCCGACCTCATAAGTTCCAGATCAAGCTCTTTCGACGTTGATATTTGCGTCAAAGGTGTGTAACCCACAACATGATGTATACAAATCTTATTACGTTCCTTACCTACACTTGCTTCTTGCAGCTGTGAGTAACTTCGTTATTTTGTCCTCGTTACCCTACGCACGCAGGGCAGAGGTATTGCAATAAACATTTAATCCACGGCAAATAGCTCAATGCAATGCACCGATACACGACAAATCCACTACAAAATACGCTCCTCCCTGTCACACGCCTACACTCAGCCTCAATGACCCCATGAAAGTCCAGACCAGCCAGGTAATATTTAGAGAGCTTCAATCAGCGCGTCGTCAACGTCAAAAGCGCCGGGGAGAGCGGGGGGAGGGGGGGGGGGGGCGCTCGGAGAAACAGCTTGGGTGACGCAGGGCCAGCCCACGGCGCGGCAACGACCGGCCTGGCCGCCACGCCGGGCCCGGCGGCCGGGGGCGCCCGCGGCCAATCGGAGGCAGGCCGGCCGGGCGCGCCCCCGCCGCCTCCGGCCGCCCGGATAACGCCATTAATAACGGCGCGCGGGCCGAATATCGCAGCCGGCACCAGGCGGCCGTCATCAGACGGCCGGGCGCCGCCGCTGGCCGCGCCGTAAACAAATCTGGCCCGGCCGACCGCGCGCGCCACCTCCTCTGATGAAAAACGCTATGCCACATCGCCCGGTAATCGGGCGGCGGCAGCGGCGGCCTGAGGAAGCTCGCCGAGCGCCGGCCGGGCGGCGCCGGCGCTCGGCGAAGCCCCTCGCCACCGGCTAATCGCCACCGCCATCCGGCCGCAGCTTTGTTCGCGCGGCCCACATTCCGTCCGCGGCAGCCAACAGTCAACGCCACTTAAAGCCTTGCTGCGAAAACGTCGCACTTTCAAAGCACGATGGCGCCACCTTAATGCGGTGAGCGGGACACTCGGCTCCCAACCAAGCCTGGGGCTGAAATTAATTTGCCGCATCAATGAGACGGTGGGGACACGTTCTGAATGCTCATTAGCACATGTTTGTCGCTGTGTGCTGGGAATAGAAGGCCAAGCCATCGGGGGCGGGCCGACGAGATTAACCTGGCGAGCTGGATATCAAAATAGCAAGACGTGGAATACAACCCAAAAATTACTGTCTGCTCAGGACGTTGCAACTTGTTGCTCTCAACTGATGTGGTTGTTGTTGCTCACAAATGATTAGGTTGTTAGAAACGAAACTATTACAATGATACAACAACGGTCTACCGGAGCACCTGCCACCGGATTCGCCCACCGGCGGCCGAGTGGGTTCGAGACGCTTAACGCACCCACCATTCACCCCTGACTGGGATAGCCCGCGGCCGGTGGCAGCCGCCGCGCTCAGTGCCAGGTGACGTCAGAGGGCTTCACGGTACGTTTAGCCTTCGCAGAGAAATTCTGCCGTTGATTCGAAGTTACTTGATCGGATGGTGAGGTAAGAGCTCAGGGAAAAACCAGTGCTCACAGTGGCACGCGGGCACTGATTCCAGAAGTTCATTCGATCAAAAGGTTTGGATTAGATCTTAAAAATAACTAGAAACAAATCAAAATTAAAAAGCACAGTTCAACGCAGACAGCGGAATTTATTCCTGCCTACCGTTTATACAACATCGATGTGATGACACGGTTTTTCAAGGCAGCTTGAAACATTACTACAGTGCGTAGCACTTTTTCGTGAAAATATCAGAGACAAATGGGACAAACTGGATACACAACGCTGATACACAACGCTGACATGCTCTTCGTTACGGACATCTGACTATGGCTGAAACAGTAAGCAATGACTTGTAAAGATGGCGGCATGGATACCAAGTCACGCAGCTGGTTGGACAGAAAAATGCACGATTATTACAACACAAATGCAGGCCACTTTGGCAGCTTTCCAAGTGAACAAGCAGCGATCGTACAAAAGCAGGCGCAGCATGACCATCAGCCGTCCATCCAGGAACGGCGACTCATCACGGGCAGCGGACGACCGTGCCCCCCCCCCCCCCTCCTCTCCCCCAAATATACGCACCTGTAGTAGTTAGGCTTGAACGGGCCGGCCTTGTTGAGGCCCATGTACTTGGCCTGCTCGTCGGTCAGCTCGGTCAGGTGGGCGTCGAACGAGGGCAGGTGGAGACTGGCCACGTACTCGTCTGCCGGCCGCGACCCACGGTCAGCCGTCGGACCAGGGCAGCATAACACCGCCCCCGGACCAGGGCGACGTAACATCACCTCCAGACTAGGGCACCGTAACACCGCCCCCGGACCAGAGCACCGTAACACCGCCCCCGGACCAGAGCACCGTAACACCGCCCCCGGACCAGAGCACCGTAACACCGACCCCGGACCAGGGCAGCGTAACACCGCCCCCGGACCAGAGCACCGTAACACCGACCCCGGACCAGGGCATCGTGACACCGACCCCCGGACCAGGGCACCGTAACACCGCCCCCGGACCAGGCCACCGTAACACCGCCCCGGACCATCCCAGCGTAACACTATCCTTTCAGTTCAACTTCTCTATCATTCAGTAACCACCTCGCTGAAAGCGCATGCTATCCGTGCGTTGATGCTGAGAAGTGCATTCACGAGCCCCGCACTACGTGTTGAGGAATTGGCCGTCCTCAGGTCGGCGTCGCCAGGGCAGAGGCGGGCACGGGAGGGAGGCGTCGCAGGACAGGGCGTGGCGGTACCTACCCATTTTTTTGGGCAGCAGGTAGACGTCGGCCTTGTAGCGGCCAGCCGGGGCGTTGAACAGCTCGATCAGCGCCAGAGCCTGCAGCAGAGCCGTCGGCGCGTGAGCCAACGGTCACGTGCACACCGCTCCAGCGACGGTGCGGTCACCACCGCACCCGGGCCGGCGGGCCGGTACGGATCGACGCGAGCACGTCACGTCTTCAAACATCCCGGGGATAAGCACTGGTGTCGAACACGACCACACGCGCATATTCAGGATCATGCCACTTTCAGAGATGCACCCGAGCGTATTTTGATGTCAACGTAGAAACGCAGCAAGTGATACAGACCTTTAAAGACCTCCGTGGCACCGAATTCAATTTCAAGCAGCATTTCATAAGTACTCCACATGAACAGCCTTCGCTGCCTCAGATGAAAGACACACACACGCACGCACGCACGCACGCACGCACGCACGCACGCACGCATGCACATACACACGCACGCACAAACACACACACACACACACACACACACACACACACACACACCTACACACCTACACACCTACACACCTACACACACACACACACACACACACACACACACACACACACACACACACACACACACACACACACACACAACACACACACACACACACACACACACACACACACACACACACGCACACACGCGCGCGCGCGCGCGCGCAACCTACGTACACGCAAAAGCACACGCACACGCACACAAGCGCGCGCGCGCGCTGGCGCCCGCCGACACACGAACAGTTCATTTGAGGGGGACACTTGGACAGGAGCGGGGTCTGGCCCTACAGAAAATGTTCGGACGTTGAAAGTTCGAGCGAATGCGCTACTCCCCGATGGCAGGAGACACAGAAACGAGAACAAGGACAAGGAGAGCGTGTACAAATAATACACGCGACAAAGCTCTGTCGCCAAATAACCAGGAGTGACATAACCTGAACACAAACATTGTAATACCGTGCACGTACTTTTCACCGGTATGACTATTGTATATTCCATCGATAAATGCAAAAGCCAAACGCCTATGCAAGCGCCGGAAATGAGCAAACCACCAGGTGTGCCAGATTGGCAGACCCCCCCCCCCTCGCCATCCCCGTCCGCACAACGAAGCTGGCAAAATTCGCTATTTTTCGAAGCTAGAAACACAAAAAAGCATAGACGACCTTCACCAACGGGCTTCAAAGATTTTGCCACCGTTGCGAATCACAAGATGACTTTACCCCGATCACATGCATTCATGTCTGGTATTTCAATTGTCCACAAAATTCAGTAATTATAAACGCCACGGTACGCTGACACGGTACGATACGGTCACATCCAGCCAGAAGCCCTCGTTGGCGACCTGATGTGGTGTCTTTCTGACGATTGCGAGTGCGTATGCAATCTTAGGTCATTTGATGTAAATGCGCTTGAATTGCCAAACCATGCCATTAAAGTAGTTACATTCCAAAAGTATACTGAAACAGTCATAGCTGCTGGCAGTGCGCGGTGCGTCCAATGGATCAGAACGACGCGTCGGCTGCGCTGGAGGTCACGTAGCGTACTTCGGTAACACAGCACATGAACAAGCTGTGTAGCGCGGATTACTACGCGCAGCGGAGGCGTAATTACCGAATACTTGCGTCTTTCGCTCCCACCTGGGAGACCGGTTTCGATCTCTGGCTGCGTCATGGCCTCTCGGCACTAATACGGCTTCGATCTCCGGCTGCGCCATGGCCTCTCAGCACTAATACGACCTCTGTTACAGCTACATGTACTGATTTTCGTTATTGGAAGCGCATACACGTGGTAGTTATTCTGCGCCTAGTCGCACAAGAAAAAAAAACACACACACATAGTACACAGAGATACTTAAACACGCACAGGTAAAAGCAGTTTCGGTCAATGAATCAGCGATTTAAAACAGTCAAGAATGCCCGACGCGAGGGGGCGCGGACGGCGGCCGCAGACAGCCGGTTCCACGCGGCGGTGGCGCAGTGCGGAAAGTGCCACTGGGTGGCGCTCAGTCGGACGCGCGGCAGATGTAGCGAGCCGACACCGCCGGAAACAGCTCGAATTTGACGTTGGGAAGACATGGAGCGCGTCTCGAATAGAGCACGCAGTGCGCTGAGGGATCCGGGGACGTGCAGTGCCCCGAACACAGTCCGGCAGTCCCGGTGGTGCACGAGACCCGCGTCACTACGCCAGCCGAGCGCTTCCAAGACGGGTGAAATGGGATCGCTTCGGCGGACACCACTTACTGGCCTGGCCGCGAAGTGCATCACCCTTTGCGTATGCCGGTCGTTTGCGTACGCCAACGCCCCGTCTAGGTGACGCTCGGCCGCTCCACCCCAGGACAGGCAGAAGAGGATGTGAAATATGCGTATTTGGGCAAGGAGCTTCAAAACTTCAGGAGTAGTGGTATTGAATTTTGAGCAGGGATACGAGGATTGGATTACAGTGCCGAGCGAGAAACATGTAGGATTCCCAGGTGAGGTGGTGGTGGTCGAGGAGTACGCCAGTACTTTCACTGAAGATGATGGATGAATGTCTGTACCACAGACGGTAATGTGGAAGTTGCAGGTCTTTGTGATAGAGGGTTTGATGCCACTCAGCCTGAAGTCTGTCATTTTGGGCATTATTTTAAGGCTTTTTGATTGAAACCAGTTTAGGAGGCACTGAATGGACTCCTCGACACGGGCTTTCAGGCTGTACAGGCCGACGACATCGGAGGTAGTGGAGTCAAAGAGTTGGGTGTCATCGGCGTGGGATAGTAGGCGGCCGTAAGGTGGGAAGCTGGATAGGCCGTTGATGAAGATGAGGAACAAGATTAGGCCCACAAGGGATCCCCGGGCCACTCCGTGGGATAGGGATAGAGTAAACGAGCCATCACTGGCCACCTGCTGCCGACAGCTGAGGTAGTCCCGGAACCATTCAGAGGACACCCCGCATCATTAAGAGGACACCCCGCACCATTCAGAGGACACCCCGCACCATTCAGAGGACACCCGCACCATTCAGAGGACATCCCGCACCATTCAGAGGACACCCCGCACCATTCAGAGGACACCCCGCACCATTCAGAGGACATCCCGCACCATTCAGAGGACACCCCGCACCATTCAGAGGACACCCCGCACCATTCAGGGACACCCCGCATCATTAGAGGACACCCCGCACCATTCAGAGGACACCCGCACCATTCAGAGGACACCCCGCACCATTCAGAGGACATCCCGCACCATTCAGAGGACACCCCGCACCATTCAGAGGACACCCCGCACCATTCAGAGGACACCCCGCACCATTCAGAGGACATCCCGCACCATTCAGAGGACACCCCGCACCATTCAGAGGACATCCCGCACCATTCAGAGGACACCCCGAACCATTCAGAGGACACCCCGCACCATTCAGAGGACACCCCGCACCATTCAGGGGGCACCCCGCATCATTCAGGACACCCCGCACCATTCAGAGGACACCCCGCACCATTCAGAGGACACCCCGCACCATTCAGAGGACACCCCGCACCATTCCAGCTCGCCAAGGAGGACGCCGAGATCGACGCTGTCAAAAACCTTGCAAAGGTCAATCGTCGTTATCGACACGACATGGCCGTTGTCGACAATCCTTGCCAGCCACCCGATAGCGTCAATCAGGGTACCCTCCGTCGAGTGACGTGGACGGAAACCATATTGCGATGGCGTCAGTACATGACTGTCAAGAAGGTAGGAAAGTAGCTGTGAGCAGACGACCGTCTCGATCATTTTCGACCAAACAGAGAGCAGAGAAATGAGCTGAATGTTCTTCAGGTCTGATTAATCGCCCGACTTGAACACCGGGGCGGCACGCGCGATCTTCCGGACGGGCGGAAAAGTGCGTGATGTGATACCAAGTTAGTCAGATGTAGAAGATGAGCGCCGATGACAGGGAAACACCTTTTCTTTGCGCGAAGTGGTACACCGACACCCACATCCCTCAACGCGCTCATGTTCCTGATGGCTGCAGAGAACTCCGGTAGAGTGGCTGGATGGGGGGACAATACCGAGGTGCAGACACGGTACGGGCGCGGTCCAACCGAGAGCGCACCCGCACTGCCGCACACCGCCACGGCCTCTGCAGCAATGCGGGGGCCAACGGCAGCGAAGTGGACATTGAGTGCGTCTACCCGGGCGCCCATGCTGTTATCGGGTGTGTCGCGCCCTCTCGCTGGCTACAGTCCGAGTTGCTTGAGGCGGCGCCAGAAATCTCGCCGCCCTGTCAGCGGACTGCTGCACAGGTAGGAGCGTCGCGCGAGTGTTCAGCCGCTTCACTCTGTTACGGCACCGCTGGTACGCGCGGCGCGCCTCTGTGGTATGGAAGCACTTCCAGGCCCCGTGGGCGCAGTAACGCTCCTCCACAGCTGCGGAGTCGCTGCTATCTCCACGCAGCCACGGACAGCCGGGCCGGCGCGACTTCTCTGCGATGTTCGGGCAGTGAGCGTCGACTGCGACGTTCCATACTTCCATAAACGCGGCCACCTTGTCACCTGTGGTGGCAGCGGCGCAGAGCGGCTCCAAATCGGCAAGCAGCATTCAGGTTGAACGCGTCCCAGTCGACGCGTTTCCACGGTCGCGCGGTGGCTGACCGCCGGCTCCCTCTCTGGGGATGGGAGCGCAGAGTAGCCCTGCAATCGCTGGCGCTTCATACAAGGGAGTGTCCTAGCCCAGCATAATACATGCATTCATATGCTTTGCCTACATATGTTCTGAATGAACCAAGATAGAGCAGCTCAGAAAGGACACCAAGTCCGATGGTGTATACTGCATGATCTGCACACCCAAACAGCAGAAGTGTTAACTTGTCACTTTCTCGCGTCCCTATGCGCCATTCCGGGTCCGAGGGCCGCAGCCGCAGCCCGGAGCTTGGGTGACGCCGACAGCGGCGGGACGACGCCTCCCAGCCGCTGCTGTCGGACGCGGCTGGACTCGTCCGGATCGTACGCGAGCCCGACCGGCCCCGCTCGACCGCCGCCCGAGAGGCCGCCGGCCGGCCGGACCGGGGCCACTGGAAGGCGCCGGTCCGAAGCTCGCACGCCGCCCGAGACGCCGCCGACCGGCCGGACCGGAGCCGCTGGAAGGCGCCGGTCCGGGGCTCGAACTCCGCCTGAGCTGGCCGCCTATTGCGCCGCAAAATCCCCAGATGGCGCAGTGGCGCCGTCGGAAGGCAGAGACGGAGCCAGACGTAATCTGCCCGGAATGGGCCTATTACGTGGATTAGGCATAGCACAGGCAAGTACGGACGGGGGAATAACTTGGTCCAAGAACCGACATTGGATCCGAGAGAACGCTATTACGACGGCGCACGTCTTGTGCAGCTGACTGGTGCAGCTGATGCCATTGCTACTGACGAAAGCAATCAGCACTGGCGAGCTTGAGAACAACTCGTCAAAAAGCCACGGTTTCGTGAAATCCTGTTGTGCTTTTTCGACATTAATCTGTGTGGCACCATTTCTTACGTTCCATCTGTACAAAGAAAGCCATCGCAATACCATCCAGATTTGCAATACACTCCCTCCATGCCAACGCCCCACGCCCTGTGCGATGTCACCGTCCCTCCTACACACCTCCTTCCTTGCGCGTGAGGACACCCCTCAGTCGCGTCACTTCCCGTGACGTCATCCGTCTCCCTCCGCAGCCTCGTCACGCGTGCGTCACCGCCGACCCTCTGCCTTTGTCACCGGCTCGCCCGGCCTCGGTGACCTCCGCCGGTGTGACGTCATCGGGGTGCGCCGGGGGCGGCCGCCACCAGGCCGAGCGCCGCATTATCGGCCTCTGAGCATGAAATCACTTTCCGAACTTTGATCATATATCATGGCGCGGCGCAGCCGCAAGACACGGTCCGGGCCGGGGGCGGCCGGGCGAACAAAGTTGCCGGCTGCGGCGCCGCTGGCTGCGGGCCGGGAGGGCTGTCGCGCCGCGTGACCCGCAGCAGCCCCCGCCGAGCCGCGCGCCGCCCAGCGCGGTCACGTTCAGCCGCGCGCCGCGCCGCGCCGCGCCGGCCGGACGGAAGTCGGCGCCGTCCTCAATAGGTCGACAAGTCCACGGCCAGCTCGGATCGAGCACACTCCGCCGCCGTTTTCGTGGAATATTGTAGGATGAATTCGGGGTAGATGTCATTTCATTCACAGCCTTTGGATTTCGGTCTATTTCGAGCGTGTTTGAATATACAGGACGGCTCACATTATCCTCATGAAATACGGATCTCTTCCCGGCGAGGTTTTAGTCCCTACACGATTGGACCACCGAGCATCAAGCTGGACAGTTCAGCACATCCACTAGCCTGAATAGTTCAATATCACGCCGTTCCAGGCAGTCGTCTTCCAGGAAAAGCATTCGGCAGGAATCACGCGCCAACATGCGCTAAAGCGCCGAGGATCAACAGTCCCGGCACCAATCACTTCCGGGCACGACTGTATCGCTGAGTCGTCCACGGAAACAGCCGCCGCGGCAGACCACCCACGAGCACCACTTCTCAGAGAGAACAATCATCCACCGACGGAAATTCTGTGAAGCGCCACCCCCACCCATTACAACTGCCGGACGGCCAACCAGGAAAATGGCCACACAGACCAACCGCCCACAAACGTGACTGCGGAGACGAGCGTCCAGCGAACACTATTCAAGTTGCTCACAAACGCAGATACTGGGGCGAGGTAACCCAAGAGCACGACAAAAGACACGCGTGGCCTGTCACCCCAGGGAACACACCTGAGTCAGCACGGAGCACAACAGAGACGAGTCACTGCTGAACACGACTTCACATATGCGCCGCCCAAGGGCACGCCACAGGGCATTCCTCTCCCACGGACTCGATTACAGAGGCAAGCCCCACGCGAAGAAGACGGCACAGACGAACCCCTCGGCAGCATGACAAGACGCATGAGCCGCCAATGAAAACAAACGTAAGTACGCACCAACGACAGGCCACCCGCAAACACCACGAGGAAAACTATCCACCAACAAAACTGCAAACTGAACCACCTACCCCTCACACCCACTGTGACGAGCCACTCACGACCGCTACCAGAGGGGCGGGTCCCACAGATGAGAGAGGCTTATCACTGCTGCCAAGCGCGGCACTGGCGCCGTCCCTTCCCCGCATGCCTGCAGCTCTGGGCGCACATCGGAAGCTGCCTCCACCTCGGCCGAGGCACGGAGGTCGGCCGACTGGAGGAGACAGTGTCGGCGAGTCCCGGCGGGGCGTAATGAATCGCTATCTGCGTCCTTTGACTGCACCGCTGCAACGTCTCATGGAGATAGCGGCAATGTGAGATTGACATCTCCGCTGTAACATGCACGCATAGTCCTTGTGGAGCACGATACAGACTCGAGCACGTACAGCACGACGCAGACCCGAGCACCTAGAGCAAAACACTGGCCCGAACACCTAGAGTACGAGTCAGACCCGAGCACCTAGAACACGACTCAGACCCGAACACCTAGAGGGCGACTCAGACCCGAACACCTAGACCCCGATGCAGACCCGAACACCTAGAACACGATGTAGACCCAAAATACGAGAAAACTCCTAACTGCGTTTGAACAATAACGCGACCAGGGACAGTGTTGCGCCGTATGAGGCAGCATAGCATAAGACAGCACTAGCCAGACTTACTGCGCTTATCGATCGTCGCACACGGGAACGGTTTCCCCAACGCGTCAGCTGCACGCAAACGAGCCGGCTCCAACAGCTGGTAGCCGGCGGCCACGAGCCCCAGTCGGGCGGCGCCGGACGCGACCTGTCCGGACGGCCGGCTCGGCCCACGCGGCGGCGCCTCTTCCAGGAGCGCCGAGCGGACGCGCGCCAGATTGGAATAGTTTGCGGCCAGACCGAGTGTTTTCAGGGCGGGCGGGCAGCGGCTATTGGCCCCCGCTGCATTCTTCCCGCCAAACAGCGCGTCTGGCCTCGCCGAGCGCGGCTGATTCCAGCGGGCGCCGACCGACCTGCCCCGCTCATCCGGACGCATTCGTGTTTTTCTCGAACGACGGCAGGCGAATAGATAGCACCTTCTAAGCAAATTCTTTTAACGCAAAAATCATGGCGAAGTTCAGAAATGTCGGCAATAACGTGCCACTTCACAAAGTTGTGGAGACTTGCGTGCAGGTACCGCCATGCCACACGGGGGCAATGACGCCTGAGGCGCTGTCACGCCACATCACCGCCAGGCTGACATCGGGCCGGCGGAGCGGAGGTCGCACAAGGCCGACATAGCAGGTGTCACAGTCATCGCACACAACCAAACGGGCCTCTTGAGCCTGCAGGACGCCTGCCAAACACCCGGTGGAGATGTTCTGTGCGGCCTCACGGGCCACACCTCCCGAGCGGCTCACAGACCGGCGGACCGCAGGTATGGTATTCTCCCTCCCCGCGGTCCGACGCCCCAGTCATCCTCCCTTCTGCGCATTACGTCGCCCCAGCCATCACCCTTCTGCGCGGTTCGTCGCCTCAGCCATCACCCTTCTGCGCGGTCCGACGCCCCAGCCGTCCTCCCTTCTGCGCATTACGCCGCCCCAGCCATCACCCTTCTGCGCGGTCCGACGCCCCAGCCATCACCCTTCTGCGCGGTCCGACGCCCCAGCCATCACCCTTCCGCGCGGTTCGTCGCCTCAGCCATTCCCTTTCTACGTGGTCAGTCGCCTCAGCCACCCTCCCTCCTGAGCGGTCCGACGCCCCAGCCATCTTTTCTTCTGAGTGCTCAGATGGTCCAGTCATCCTTCAAAGAGCAGTGCGAGTCCAGGAGTTCGACCCGTCTGGGATCCACACCGAGCCCGACAAACCGACCATCTGTCATCCTGAGCGACGTCCGACCGGCCGCTCACTCCCATAATGACGGCTTGGGGATTAGGGGCCTCCCGAAGACGAGACCATTTTATTAACTATCCGGCAACCCACGGAATATCTGCATGGAGTTTCGTCAGTCGTTCTTCGCTCCGCATGACCCAACCATTCTTCATGTTTGGGAGAGATCCTTCACACCACAGCGCCCCGCCTGCACCTGGCGGCGCATCGGACAAACCGGCTGACCGGCATCCTCACCTTCGCGCGACAGACACAGTGAGTCAGCGACAGGGCTGGCGGGCTCAGTCTGTCAGTCAGTCGGTCTCCCGCTGAAGGCCCGTGCCGACGACACGACCCGCCCACCCACGCGCCGCGAGACCACCAGTTGGCAGGCCGGCCGGTTGCGCGCGCGGCTCTCACCTGCGTGGCGGCCGAGATGGAGACGACGAACGAGGGCACGCTGGAGCAGGTGAGGTTGACGAGGCGACCCTCGGCCAGCAGCACGATCCGCTTGCCGTCCGGCCAGATGATATGGTCCACCGAGGAGCGCACCTTCTCCCAGGTCAGCTCGGGCGTGCGCAGCGAGTTCTGCGGACAGGCGCACAAATTGGACATTCGATGAACACTGTAGCAGTTCCAGTGCCACAAACATTGCGACTTAACCGTGTCGTATGTCGTGTAGACAAATCCCATAAAAAACTGTCTTTGCTGTGCATTCACCTGCGCCATGCAGCAACCACTGCAAAGTGCCCTGCCTCCTTGAACACGCCTTAATACATGTAATCTCTCAGTAAACGTGCATGAAGATGTACAAACCAGTCCGCTTAGGAGTCGCTTTACCACTGGCCTAGCACATCGCCAGACTGTAGGACGGTGACGACAGCGCCATCGTGTGACTGCCAGACGAACTACAGCCTGTCGGCGCACCCACCACGTCGATCTCCGTGTTGGAGTGGCCCATGTTACAGAGCAGGGCGCCGTTCTTCATGCGGTCCATGTGCTCCCGGGTGACCACGTTCTTGTTGCCCGTGGCCGTGATGACGATGTCCACGTTGCGAATGACCTCGCTCAGTTTGACGACGCGCAGCCCGTCCATACTGCGGGCGGCGGAAGACGGGGCTGCAGAGACGCCGCGCAACGACGGCAACTCGAAACCGACGCTGACAGCCGAGGAGCACAGGTCCCGCCTCTCTGCATCCGTCTCAAAGAAGCAGAGTACCAACTCGTGTATGTAAGTTCAGTTGGTGCAAACTTAGAACGTATACTACTACCGTGTGAATGAGAGTTTGAGGTAACCCACGCGAACTCCTTCATCCCATTACTTCCCCGATGCAAAGTCATGTGGCGCAGCCGACCCCGCTTCCCCAGTCCCCCCCCCCCTCGAGCACCCGCACCTTCTGTGCGGCGGGGCGTCTGTGGGGTAACCGATGGGTCTCAGACTCAGCCAGGGTTGCTGCAACGTTACCCTCACTTCCTGAGATGGATTAAGTTTGCATGCACATTTCTCCATGAGAAACCGGAACGGATATTGTACGAAATAGTGTTAGGATACATCGCGGCTTCTCACACTAGCGGTTCCGGACTTTCCGAATAAAGCTATACGCGCATTTACACCATTCCCACAATAGAAGCCCGGACAGGCGCTGGACACGGCCGGGGACGGCATTTCCGGGAGCCTGTTCCCAAGCCGAGGCGGTGACACAGTCAGGGCGAGCAGTACCTGGCCTGCAGGGCGCAGATGGGATCCACCTCGGAGACGTACAGCACGCAGCCGAGCCCCTTCAGCGACTGGCAGCAGCCCTTGCCGACCTCACCGTAGCCGCACACCAGCGCCTGCTTCCCACCGAACATGATGTCGGTGGCGCGCTTCAGACTGCGGACCGGCCACACACGTCACTGCGCGTGAGGACTGGAGAAGTGACGCACGTCAGACTGGGGACCGACCACACGCGCCACAGTATGTGAGGACTGGAGAGATAACGCACGTCAGACTGCGGACCGGCCACACACGTCACTGCACGTGAGGACTGAAGAGATAACGCACGTCAGACTGCGGACCGGCCACACACGCCACCGTATGTGAGGACTGGAGAGGTGACATATGTCAGACAGCGGACGGGTCACAAACACCACTGTGTTAGGGCTGAGCAGGCGGCCCGCGCCCCTCTGCAGGTGGGAGACTCGTACGCAGGTGATCCAAGTTGGTTCGTGATCTTATGCTCTCCACATTTAGAGAAGTCAGCCAGACTTGAGCGCTCGTTGGCGCTGATGACGTGACCACCAATCTCAACCGGGCACAGCTTGATCCCCGTGACCCGAACCATGCAAGCTGCTCATCAGCGCGGTTCATCGGCACACAACAGGCTGTTCATAGATTACGTCACGCATTTTTGACCGTTCCCAAACCCCATCCCCCGGTTACGCACTGGTCATCCTGGGCGAAATACCCTCCCCAGGTAAGGGCGTGATGAGTGGAACGTCCAAAAAGATCGAGTGCCATTGGCCACAACTTAAGCTGGGGGTGTGAAACAAAGGCGGGCGTGCTGCTTGCCACGAGAGGAGGCCAAGGGTATCAGGCCTTTAAAACTCTTCAGAAAGAAGCCGGTGTGATTTGGCACCACACCTGAGCGCAACGTTACGCTCTTCCCTTGCGCTTTGTTACGCTTCGGTCACGCTCCATTAAAACCTCCACCCCAGCTATGCGTAACGTAGTACATAACCGACCCCTGACGTGTTGTCTGTCCTCATTCCCGTCCAGACGGCGCCACCGCACCCGGATGGCGCCACTGCTGCTCCGACCGCCAGAACAGATCTATAAGCTCAGCACTTCCGCATCATGCATAATGCATAGCTGGTCCATCGCATCGACGGAAATAACAATAATTTTCCAATCGCGAGTCATACAAGGGTTTCATTTCCTGAAAACATGCCAAGTCATTCAGGAACACAATGCACGACGAAAATATCCGCAGGCTCCGCGGCGTGGTGAGTTGAAATTCAACAACTGCCTATCACGGCCACACGTGCCTCTGTTCCTATGTGTCTATCAGGAAAACAAATGCCAGCATGCAACTCCTCACATCTTGCAAGTACACTTAGCCATGGTCAGGGGTCATCATCACAGCATGCTAGAGCTCGCGAACGGGTCAAGGGAGGAAAACACTTCCTATTCATTTCGTATGCACATACAGATGCACACGTTATCCAAGGAAGATCAAATTTTCATCCCGAGTCACATTTCCACCGGGTTTCTCGTACATCAGCGTGTCGGCTTGGGGGGGGGGGGGAGGCAGGGCCGCATGACTAAGCCGGTCCTGGTCGGATCTCGGCGGAGGAAGCGGTCAGCCTCGATGCTTGGCCCACCTGTCGATGATGCTCTCGCGGCACGAGTACAGGTTGTCGAACTTGGTCTTGGTGACCGAGTCGTTCACGTTCATGGCCGGTACGCTCAGCTTCTGCTGCTTGCTCAGCTGGTACAGCCGGTGCACGCCCGTCACCGACTCCTCCACGATGCCTGCGCGCAGGCCGGCGGGGGCGGTGTCACATGTGGCCGCCTCTTGAGTCCGCCCACCATCGCAGACCAGCCCGCCGGCACAGGCTCCCATCTCAGCACTCCCACGGGCCATACACCATGAACAATGCGCAGGCAGATGCAGGTCTCAATTCGCACGCACGCGCCAGCCATGTCGTATCCGCTTTGCCAGCTGCAGGCGTGGCAGCGTGATGACAAAGCATCCCGCGGAAGCATCGTTCGTGGCAAAGGGTCGGCGGCGCTCATTCCAACGCAAAATGCTGTCAGTGCAAAACAGACGGTCTTCCGAAGGGAAAAAACGCAGCGGAACACGACCCCGCAAGACTATACACCATGCATGTTTCAATTCGACCGCGCTTGGTGAACATGCCTGGTTTTCATTTATCGCTGAATTGCCCGCTTCATCCAATTTGTCACTGCCCATCCCGAGCGGGTCGTTCCAGAACTATTCTCGTAGCAGGCCAGGTCTGCACACACCCCGGGAGTACTGCTCAAGAGCCCGCGACTCGACATAGCTATATCTCGGTAGCTGAGTTCGCTAGCAGCGATGCGCCTTTCGCGTGCCGTCAGCCCACGTAAAGTGCTTAACTCATGACCATGGAAACCTTCGCTTCCGGGTCAATGGTGGGTGGACATATGGCACTTAAAGGCCGGCACCTGGCACCGCCTGCACGCGAGCACAGCACGTTTCATGGAGCGGTGAAGGGGACATGTGGACCACACGGCGACAGGCCGCCACACTGTCTACATATCACCTTTGCACTCTCGTGCGCAGACGGGGCGCTAACAAACCCGCGGAGCATTCAGCCCGTGAACCAACGGCCTGTGCGACCACCACCCCGTCCGACCACGGAAAGAGCCAGATTGCCACACAAGCCCAGCCGGGCGGCAGGCTTCGGCCGGCTGCGGAGCCGCAGGGAGGTGCGCTGCGGCGGACCGGCCGGCGCCGCCGTACCACTGTACCGCCGCTGAGCGTACCACGGGCCAGAGTACCGCGGCTGAGCGTACCACGGGGCAGAGTACCGTGGCTGAGAGTACCACGGGGCAGAGTACCGTGGCTGAGCGTACCACGGGCCAGAGTACCGTGGCTGAGCGTACCACGGGCCAGAGTACCGCCGCTGAGCGTACCACGGGCCAGAGTACCGCCGCTGAGCGTACCACGGGCCAGAGTACCGCCGCTGAGCGTACCACGGGGCAGAGTACCGCCGCTGAGGGTACCACGGACCAGAGTACCGTGGCTGAGCGCACCGCGGGCCAGAACGCCGCCGCTGAGGGTACCACGGGCCAGAGTACCGTGGCTGAGCGTAACACGGCCCAAAGTACCGCGACTGAGCGTAACACGGATAAGAGTACCCAAGCCCCCATCTCGGTACCGCGGATCCCCCCGTCTCCGTGCCGCCGCACTACCGTACCGCAGCCGCCCATCACCGTACCGCGGATAAGCTTGAACATGGCCGGATATTTCTTGAGCATGAGGTGGGTGGCGTCGCCGCCGTCGTCCAGAATCATGTTGGGCTGCCAGTTCTCGGCGTTGATGCACTTGTCGATGCACCACCAGAAGTCGTCCTCTGTCTCGCCGCGCCACGCGAACACCGACACCCCTGCCGGAGGCGCGCGGCGCGTCAGCGGGCCGCCAGGCACGCGACGTCCCATTAGTCACACGCCGGGGCTGCCAGAGATGGATAGCTGTGCTGCTTCGAGGGACACATAATTGCCTGAGGGAATTATCGGCGGCGTCGGAGCCGCGGCACTATATCGGGCCTCTCGGGGGAACGAGCACGGTCACGACACATCAGGACGCGTAGATAAGCCATGGCAAGAAAACACCTCGTGTTCAATAAGCCGGTGCGCAGTAACGGGGTCAACAAGTGGATGCACTTCACAGCAAGACGCCACCCACTGCAGTCGAGTGGACTAGGGTAGCGAGCAATACTACAGTCAACGAAGCCAAGCGGGGCCGTGCAGTCATATCGACACTGAAAGCGAGCATAAGGTAGCGCTTCCGCGCGGACACCACACAAATACAAACAGCGGGCTCCAGGAACAGCTCCATACCGCAGCAGACGGATCCGCCGGCAGGCCAAGTCTAGATTACGGTGCGAGTTTAGCACTGGGCCGCTTTGATTGGCCCCGGTAATGTGGTGGGGGGGGGGGGGGGCTAGCAGGCAGCCGAGTCTTTGATTGGCCCGGTAATGTGGTGGGGGCGGGCTAGCAGGCAGCCGGGTCTTTGATTGGCCCCGGTAATGTGGCGGGGGCGGGCTAGCAGGCAGCCGAGTCTTTGATTAGCTCCGGTAATGTGGTGGGGGCGGGCTAGCAGGCAGCCGAGTCTTTGATTGACCCCGGTAATGTGGTGGGGGCGGGCTAGCAGGCGGCCGAGTCTTTGATTGGCCCCGGTAATGTGGTGGGGGCGGGCTAGCAGGCAGCCGAGTCTTTGATTCGCTCCGGTAATGTGGAGGGGGCGGGCTAGCAGGCCGCCGAGTCTTTGATTCGCTCCGGTAATGTGGTGGGGGAGGGCTAGCAGGCAGCCGAGTCTTTGATTCGCTCCGGTAATGTGGCGGGGGCGGGCTAGCAGGCAGCCGAGTCTTTGATTCGCTCCGGTAATGTGGCGGGGGCGGGCTAGCAGGCAGCCGAGTCTTTGATTAGCTCCGGTAATGTGGTGGGGATGGGATCGCGGGCAGCCGTGTCTATCTCGGGAAAGCTGCCGACTAAACATTGGCACCAAGGCGGCGGATGTGCCGACACTTAACCCGGCCCGCATCCATTACGAAACTGTCAAATGCACCGAATAAAAACACTTAACATGGGCGTTGGCGCCGGCAACAGCCAACCGGGTGATCTGTGCTCCGTCATGCAGGTGGTGCATCAAACAAACCACTCCGCCAGCCAACGCACGCATAACGCCCCGCGGACCCGGCTCGCTTGCGTCCTGCCATCACGTGAGATCGACAAGTCAGCCCAGACTACGCCTACCAAGAATCGCCGTCGCGCTGAGGGCGAGGTCGCCGCGCTGCTGCCCTGTCGCAGGGCGGGAGCACAAGGAGCGGGCCGGCGGCGGCGCCCGACGGCTCACCTTTCTCGGCCAGGGCGGCCGTCACCTCGTTCTGGGTGGAGTAGATGTTGCAGGCGGCCCAGCGTACCGTGGCGCCCAGAGAGATGAGCGTCTCGATCAGCACCTGAGGGGCACGGTCGGCTCGCTCGTCTCGTTCGGCCCACACACGGCAGCGGCCACACACAGCGTCCCATACCGATGCTTACATAAGTTAGATCCAACGGGCTTTATAAGTGTCATTCAGGGACCGTTTGATATAGCGATGTCGTTACGGACAGAACAACTGGCAGTCATAAAGTCGGAGCCATATTGAGAGCAGCTCCATAGACTTCACAATCTCAGGCCAAGCCACGACCATTTCAGAGCCCACACAGGCCCAACATATCTGAGTGAGGGCGCCGCCAAGCGACGCGAGTGGCAGCGGCTCAAGCCCTCGCCACGGTGCATTGACAGGAAGCCGGCCGGCCCTGCTGCCAGCCAGCACCGGACGGCACGCGCTCGTGACTCGTGACCCAGCCAGCAACGATCAATCACCGAAGGTCAACACGAACACGGAGCGGGTGGGGAGCGGCGGCAGCGGGCCCGGAGACCGCGCCGTCGGCAGGCACGGTCGCCGACCATCAGCGCGGCCGCCGCCTCGGACAGAGACGTCGGGACCGAGCAGGGCCGGTCAGTGGCGCCACTGTACAGCCGGACACCGCGCCGATGACCGCCCGCAGCCGCCGTCTGCCACCCGGCCCCGGCGTGTCACCGAGCACAGCCATAGGGTCACACTACGGCCCCGGAGAGGACATGAGTGACGCAGCTGAGGTGTCGGCGGCGGGACGCCACGGCTTCGGCAGTGCCGCCGTACGCTGGTCGACCCCAAGCGGGTGCGTCTGCTGGCTGACGTCCGCTGCGGTTGAATTATGCCGGCCCCCGTAGCAGGGGACAAGTGAGCTCCCCTGGACGCGGGCCCACGAAACATGACCTTAGCCCGGCTGCAAGTCGCGTCACAGTTGATCTGTCGCCGCGGCAGCCTCCTACACCGACACGAGAGAGCGAGCTTCAAGGGCACACATTCAGGCGGTACGCCGACATCCGGATATTGCCTCCCAGCCCACGCGATCTCCTTTCAGAACTGCACACAGCTGGCCTGCTGACTGGTAATCGAGCGTTTACCAGAAGCGGTGGGCCTCGCCGGCAGCCACTGGCCTCCGCTGCGCCCCCCCCCCCCCCCCTCTCCCCGTGCTGGCACACCCCCAGGCGTGGGCGCCCGGCCAGCGTCGATGTCACACGTCGGCGCTGAAACACGGCCTGCGGGCCGACCGGCGGAAACCTCGCCAAAGCCACTTCCTCACGCGGCGTCGACGCACACACTGTGTGGGAAAATATGAAAGATCGCCAACCGGTCATAAGGAATAATATACGTGTGGAATGACAGTGACTTTTGGCACCACGATGAACGTCGAAATTCTTAATATCCACCCCGCGGAATCCGTTTCGATGGCACAGTTTTCACGCAGCACAGTAGCCGTGCACAGTTTTCCCGGAAACAGCATGATTCCGCGCTACCGTGGAAATCTGACCTACCGCATTTCGTTCCCATATGTCGAGAACGTACGCTAACGACCTGTGCGTTGCATAATCGCGTAATTTGAGATAATCAGATTCCCCGAGCGCCACATCGCATACATCAAGAGTCCAAACGGTGCTATGCAGACGGGACCTTGTGAGAAGAAAACACAGCAGCAATAAAGCATGGTAACAATAAAGGTAATTACAACAGTATTGCAGACGGCTTCTGTAAAGCACAGATCGAAATCACAAACAGATCACACATGTGATGCCTCCCCCGAAAAGGAGGACCAAGGACGTCATAAACGGAACACAGATGGCGATCATGAAGCTGACCTCTCGTTGCTGCAATGCCATATCCACCGACGTACAATATTAACACCACGGATGGTTTTAAAAGTGAACAGAGTTAAGACATTGAGCCCATCAGGGGCGGCGCAGCAGGGGGCGTGGGGGCAGCCAACCCCCTGCCTGTCGGCAGAGGGACAACGCGTGCTTCTGTCCCCTCATTTTTTCGGCCCGTTTTGCCCGAACCACAGGCTACAACTACTAGTTATCCGTAAAGTAGCCAAATTCAGATTTTAAACCTGTTATGGAGAGTAATAAATCGGACTCAAAAGACCCTTTCCTACATCAAGAGGTCTATATTCTGGATTGTAAGGCCACCTCCATAAATAAGGTGGAAAACAGGATATTAAAAGCTCCTCGTTTCAAAAGATCCTTCTCTAGATCAACAGGCCCAATGTTCAGTCAAGGAGGTCCCTTTGCTGGCTTGGGAGGCTCCCGTTCCGAACTAGGACGCCCCTGTTCTGGGCGCGGAAGCATGCTATACATTCGGGAGGCCCCATTTTTGGAACAGGATGCCTCTTTCATGCACCAGATGGTCCCGGTTCCCGATCAGGACGGCCATTTTTGTGATGAGGCCCCTTGGCTAGATTTCTCTAGGCATCAAGAGGCCCTTTCTTGATATGAGACCCAGTTCTTACCCTTAGCTGGATAACCAGAAGGCCTCCATTCTGGATTTTTAAGTGTCGACATTTATTTACTTGGATGCCATCCATGTAACAATTCGATAGGGAGGAACATACCCTTGGTGCCCCTCACCCTCGAATACGACACTGTCCTGAAGGTCCCCTATGAGGAGACCCAATTACCCAAGAGACCCCGGAAAAATCGTCTCCCCCCCCCCCCCTATCACACCCCATTCATAAATGTGGCGCCGCTCCTCAGCACTATCGACTTGAAAAGCCGTTTTTGAGCCATCAACCAACATTGCGTCCACTCTTCACAAGTGATTCCCAACACATCCGTACATCCCTCCTTAAGTGTCTAGCACTTTTGTCCGTTCGTCCGCTGCCAATGTTTATTATTACGGCCGTCACGTGACCTTCCGGAGTCGACGGGGTATTTCCGACCCATGGAGACGCAACACGTCGCCGGCCGGCCGGTCGGCTGCTCTCCGTGGCCAAGATCGATGCCATCGCGGCCCGCCCTCCCCTCGGCTCGGCGCTCTCCGGGCCCGCAGGCCATCCGGCGCTCGCCACGCGCATCGTTAGCGTCACCGAGCGACGCCGCTGATCCCATTTTGAGGAGCGCTGGGCGGCCGGCAAGCGTGCGCCAGGCGGACCGATCCAGCCGGCCGGCAAGCGTGCGCCAGGCGGACCGATCCAGCCGGCCGGCCGGTCGGTCGGCGCCCGTGTCCGGCGGCGCGCCGCGAGACGCGGGGCGCCACACGGCACGGGCCGCCGAGGAGGCCAGGTGCCACGCCGCGGCGCCGACGCAACGGCACAAACGTGGGATCTCAGGCCTTTACATGAAGCGAAATACCGTCATGGACATTGCTTTTGCCCAATTTCAAATCAAGCGCTAACATGACGTACTAACAAATTGACTAAAGTAGAAAATCCTAGGTTATAGCTATGTGATCATACAATTTTCCTAGTAATTTTTTTACGAGTAGGGTGAATTACGTCAACAGCATAGCCAGCGACGGCATCTCACTCTGTGATATTAGCCTGCGCGCCTACGGGCGCCGTTCGGAGACGGCTGGCCAAACATCCGACCTCCCTCCTGTGACCGCTAACGTCAGTCGAGTCTCAAACCGCTGCCAGCAGCCGCCACATCCTCTGTCTGGCTCCAGAGAGACTGCTCCGGCCGACCCGCGCCACGACGCACTCTCAGGAAGCTGATCTGATCGCGTGACTGCGGGCACAGCGGGCTCCGACACCTGGGGAAGGACGGTCAGCACGGGACTGCGACGACAACCGAGCTGGAGGGATAAGAATAAGAGGCGGCACGCACGCACGCACGCACGCACGCACGCACGCACGCACGCACGCACGTACGCGCGCACGCCGGCCATGACGTCCGACCACCCACCGCCGTCTGAGCGTTGATGTGCGTGCAGCCGACGATCTTGGCGCCCCTCAGCGGCTTGTCCTCGGCGGCTCGCTTCCTCAGCGCCATGATGCCCGGCATCTCTGCCGGCGGGCGGCGAGGCGTCAGGTCGCGACGCGGCACCAGCGCCGGAGCCGGCGTCAGGCCGCCGTCACCGACGGTCGACACTCAGAGGCAGGCACGCGACCGAACACCGCATCCGAGACGTCTCAGCGCACGGCCGGAGTCGTGCTGCGGCAGCTGCAAGAGCAGTCAACAAAGCAACACAAGCGACGAAAAGCAAACAGCTAACACATAGCACCACCGGTGTCTTATCGGTGACGGACCATCGCATACCCACACTGCAGTGGCATGGACAGTGGGTGTCAGTTCGATCCACCCAGTTCGATCTAATCCTTCGCAACGCTCGCGCCGCGGAGCCCGCACGCAGCTGGCGCCGAACGGAGCTGCTCCGCCTCCACGCGGCCGCAGCATACCTTGTTCCGCGATCTCGATCTCGCGCCGCCCGAAGGCCGCCTGCTGCACGTTGCGGATGCAGAAGTCGGCGAAGCCGTCGGCGGCCGTCTGCGTCTTCTCACGGGGCGAGATGTCATCCTCGTCGGAGCTGCTGCCCGTGTAGGAGGCTGCGACACACCAGGGCCGGCCGTCAGCGGACCGCACTCCACACCACGTCATCGGGGGCATACGGCCAACGACTGCGGTTCTGCGACGCGAGCAGTGGCCAGCAGCCGGCTGCACACTTCGGGGCAGTGGGAAGACACATCCGATCACTGTAGACGTATGCGGCAGCGGCAGCGGGAAGACGCCGCCAAATATTGTGGACCTGCAGGGCCGACTGGGAGCACAGCCAGCACCAATCGATTTCACAGCGCGGCGGGAAGACGCAACCAGCACATCCCGCCCCACGACGACAGGATGCCGCGGTCAACAGATGTAGGTTCACTGCTCAGCCAGGGCAGCCGCCAAAGCTCTCGCAGCTCACCACACATCGTGAGCCTTCCATGACAGATATTCTGGCTGTTCGTTCGTACCCAGTTAATGAGCGGACGCCGCTGACTTCGCGTGCGACCCGCCCGACCCCGGCTCCGCCCCAGGCGCACCGACCACATACAGAGCTGCACACTCGGCAAAGGCAGAGCCCCGAGCGTCGGTCACGGCTTCTCCTGCCGTCGCTGCGCCGGAAACACACGACAGAGGGGGGCCTGCACCGGCGACGGTCGACGACGTGGCCGTGGCGATGAACGGACGCCGAGGCTACCGCGGAGGCCCGCCACCGGCGTCACGCCGTCCAATCAGAGGCGACCATTCCCTCCTGCGCACTTGGTCGGAGGCACATCATTCATTCATCCGTTCCAGCGCGGTGTCCCAACAGCGCGAACACTCACCGTGCAGAGTCTTCTGAGACACTTCTTCTACCCATATTTTTCTTATTTCTCACCGGAGGCTTCGCCTCAAGCCGCTGCCGGGGGTTCCCAGGTCATCGCCGGCGGCCGGCTGACGGCAGGCGGCGCGCCGGCTCGGTCACTCCGACACTCACATGATCCGCGGGCACGTCGCCGGCCCGACCCGCCTTTGAGTCAAAGGCCGGCGGCCAGACGTTGCTCAGCGGGGGCAACCAGAGCTGTACGGAGCGCAGCCGCCGGCCAGGTGATCGCCTGCCAGCGCCGGCTCGGCCGGCCCAGTCACGGCATCGGTCAGGGGAAGGGGGGGGGGGGGGGGGCTCTGCCTGCCTCCGATGGTCCAGGTCCACCGCTCCCACGCCGCTCCAGGTCTGACAGCTCCCGTCGGTGAGTTGGCGGCCCCGGCCGCGGCGCTGCGGCGTCGGTCTGGCGGCCGGTCAGCGCGTCTGCCGAACCGATGCGACTCACACCGCGGCGCCGTCCGCAGAGCGGCCCGGCACCGCAGCTGCAGAACGCGGACCGGCAGCGTCCCACACAGGTGTAGCTGGAGCGCCGGTCTGGAGGCCGGTCAGCACGCCTGCCGAGCCGATGCGACTCACACTGCCCGGCAGAGCGGCCCAGTACCGCAGCTGCAGAGCACGGACCGGCGGCGCCCCACAAGGTGACGCGCTCCGCTGCACACGCTGCCGCCGCCCACAAGAAAAGCGTGGCCTCTGTTTGGCATGTATACGAGTGTTTTTGGCGGCTTTTCAATCGCACTTGGAAATCGCACTCAGGACCGGAAAAAAACACGGAAACAAACGCGGCTTGCAGAAACAAATTTAAGGGAGTCTGGAGAGTGTTTTAATACAGAGCATGCTGTTTTATTTCAGATGCGTAAGATATTAACCGCACGGAAAACGGTTATTGTTATATGTGCACTGTTCAGATCAGTGCAAAATTAGTGCTCATTATCAAGGATATACACAAAAGCAGGTGCTCACGGCATCTAAAACGTCAAGGACAGAAACGTCATCTTCCACACCGTTTCTTTCAATCTACTCAATGTATGCGATTCGGGTCAAAACACGCATGTACGCGTGGCATGTGGACAGTGACAAAGTAGTGTTAAACTTATCCATCAACCACGAGCCATAGACAAACGATCCAGGCAACAGAACATAAAAACGGAAGAGTTCTACTGCAATTCACATTGTTTGTGGGCTCAATGTTAAGGATTTTTCAAAAAAATTCACATGCATAAGCGTATGTATGTGTGTGCGATTTTTAACACGCACACGTTGCCCACACGGACTGGAAAGGAAAACCGAGCGCTATCATCACTAGCGGCACTCTTCTGATGCGCGTGACAGCCTATTGAGATGCAGAGAGCGTAACTCCCTCAGGTTCCAGCGATTTCACGGGATACCGGTTTTTCTTCGTTGACGCCCGGAGTGCACCCGGAGTCAATGTGGAAAACTCCGCACTTATGCTTTTTTCTGCTCAACCAGCATAAAGTTTTCATTGCTTACGCCAAATCTTCATTTATCGCGAAATGAAAAAATTGCGTTCCTCTTAGAAGTGTCCTATAGATTCGGTTCTACATGCATTTCTATCAGGTTTTCATTCACCGGTGAATAAACGTACATATCACTTTCAGCTTCACAGCCCATTCGACGGTCGAATGCATTCTCCGCCGTGTCCATTAAAATAATTCAAATCGGTCGAAATGTTTTTCTTTTTGGGAAGGGGACAGGTATCAGCACTTGTATCGGGGTTACCTCTGTCGATGTGCAACTTCGTAAACGCCTTTTGCGCCAATAAAATAATCAAATTAGGCCAAAACATGCTTCGACGAAAATTCTACAAGATATTTTATGTAACTGCTGATGCGTCTTCTATTCTCCGCCACAGCGGAACAACAAGCGAGATAATTTCTTCTGCAACATCCCTCGGCGCCATTGCAAAATGCAAATGACGAAAAACAAAGCATCAAATTATGTCGACAGTATGAATTAAACATCATGCATAAAACGAACACCACCAAGGAAACGAGTCTAACCAGTGGCGTTCAACTGTAAGCCAGCTGTGATTCAGGACCAGCGAAAGCCTGCAGTCCAGTGCTTAGCGCCGAGCCGCCACTGCAAGCTGACGTCCAAAGTGCCGGTGTCCGAGGACGAAGCGCCCATGTCGAGCGTAGTTACGTCTGGCGCGAGGGGACTACGGCGGCCGCCGCTCCCAACACCCGGGTCGGGATCAATATGGGGTCGGGTGAGGCCGCCGCCGTTCAGGTGGCGTGGAACGGGCCCGCTGCGGCCGACGGCGCCGTCACTCAGGACGCACCAGCCGGCCGTCGCCGCTGCCAAGCGAAACAGCGCCGCCGGCCGCACGGCCCGTGTCTCAGCGGTGTGAGACTGGGGGTCGGCGGGTCCTGCCCGCCTCAGGCGGCGCCGGGTGGGTCGCGGCAGGAGCTGGCCGACGGCGCCGCCCGGCACGCGACGCCCGTCCGGCGGCGGCCGGCGTGGCCCGCGGCCAGCAGCCGGCCGCGAGCGTGGCGAGCAGCCGCCAGCGCAGGCCCGCGGGCAGTAGGCAGCCGCGAGCGCGGGCCGGCTGACGGTGAGCGGCCGCAAGCGCGGGTCCGCGGCTAGCAGCGGTTCCGAGCGCGGGTCCGCGGCTAGCAGCCGGTTCCGAGCGCGGGTTCGCGGCCAGCAGCCGGTTCCGAGCGGGGGTCGGCGGACGGTGAGCGGCCGCGAGCGCGGGCGTGGATGGGGGATGTGAGCGGTCCGGCCAGACGGCGAGCCTGCACCGCATCAGGAGGAGGCCGGCCGGGCAAGGCGCGGCTCCGGCCCTTCTTCGCCGGCGTTCGCTCGGTGCCGGAGGTCCGGCTGGCACACGACGCATGCGGAAATAATCGCCTGGGTCGCAAACATCACGTGCAGGACTCGAGGTACCAAGACCACGTCTTGAGCCCCTACCACAACGTGGTCCTAGAACAGACAGTTACCAACAAGTGAACCGCGGGCTCGGCGCTTACCTCACGATGGTATCAACACACGACTCTGAGACATAACCTCACTCACCGGAAGAAACGGCACTGGCAAGACTGAGTATGTTCAACGTAACAACTACAATCTATCAATATGTATTGGCATTGTAATGGTTACCTGCGTCCGGTGCTCTCACGGCAGATTTGTTTTCGCCGAGGCCGGCTCAATGATTCAGCAGAGCGCGGGGTTACCTTAGTTAGTATCCATGGTTTCCATAAGCTGCATGTCTAACTGGTGTCCAACCCGATGTCACATGCGCCACATCCCCCGCATCCCACCATTTTGCCCCGTTTGGTAAAAACGATTCAAGGTTTAGAAACGTTCCTATTAGTGGGAACATCCCCCACCACAACACAAATTACAATTGTGACGGGCACCGCTGCATGTACCGCACGGCCATCTGAGTGCCACATGATTCAGGTCCATGGGGTGATAACTGTTCTTGCTGATCGCAATCATGATGGCCGGTGCCACCGTACAGATTCGGTATTGAAAACCATACCAGCGTTAATGTTCTTCACTGGAGTTGTAGTCCCTAAGTATGTAATGTTGGAAATGTTGTTGTAATGTTGTAATGCATATTGGAAAATAACGACCCATCACCACGATACACATTGTGTTCAAACAGCGACAGGAACGGACACAAAAGGAGCCACATACAACTAGTGGGCGTCATGCAACATCAATCGCCTTTTGTATTTTATACAAAAGACGTGTGCAGATACGATTCAAAAACTGCAAACATGCACGGCAAACTGAGAAGCACAAGGCTCATTGCGTGATAAAAAAACACAGGCATTCGTTGAGCGTGCACAGTAACCGTCAAGTGCGCGACATTCGGGGAACGAACAGAAACGCAGCCACGCCCGCTCGAGCCGTTTCAGAGGTCAGGATGAGCACTACTGGGACTCCACAGCCGGAGCGCGTGCGGCCCAGGAGCGTAACCGAGGTATTTTTCGGCACCGCGCCAAGGCCGTCGGCCAAGACGCGTCAGTGGCAGGTAAAAGGTCGGCGATCACGATACAATACATGCCGCGGGTCGTGGTCTGGAGAGCCGCGATCTCCTGCCTGCCCCCTGTCCTCCGGGTTATCTTGGTTCGGTGGCTCCCGTCCCCACGCTCCGTGTCAGCCGTCCTTAGGCGTGACCTTCCGGAAATACACCGCCGACTGCCGCGGACGCAGCTTCACTTCTTGCGTGACATCATATGCCACGGGCCTAACCTGGCCACCTGCGTGGCGTCAGGCGCCGCCCACCCGCCGAGTTGGATGAGAAGGGGGGGGGGGGGGCGGGCGGGCCAGGCCCGCCGCTCAAGCGCTCCCAGCGCCGCCGATTCCAGTGTCCTAGAATTGCCGACTTTGAATGTAAAGCAACACCCTATGAGGAGGAATTTTTCACTCCTTTTCCCCATATTTTACGTGAATTTTTCACTCCCGCATGCCACTGTCTAACCGCACACGCCAAACCCGTATTTCCCTTTCTGAGGTTTTCAGATGTCATCCAAAACCGAGCTCACTTGAAACCACCAAGCATAAACGAGGCTCCACAGAACCTGGACACCATGGCTATGTCCTGCCTCACCTACATCTGAATCATGTCTATGCATGTACGGAGCAAGGGCACCAGGTACCTCCAAGCCCAAGAATCCCACGGACTCCGCCGCTTGCACGCATTAAGTTTGGTTTGTTTACAAAATGCATCACAATCTGCAGCTGTGTGCCAAATGTAAGGTTTTCACGCATCCTTTTTTTTGGTCTCACCACATCACGAAAGCAGAGCCTGGTGCAAACACCAACAGGGCCTGGTAGAGAATTTAACTCCACGTATTTCTTTTTCCCGAGGAAACTTGACCACTAAATTGCATCACTCCAGAAAAGCAGGAGTGAAAAGTTCAATAAATGTCTTCTAAATTAAATTTACAAGACGAATGTCACCATTTCAGCACACATGTTAACAAATTTTAAGTCAAATAAGCTGATTACAAAATTTTGCGAGAAAAGTACCAGTCTTTATAGTTATTTAGCTACTTTTGTTTTTCTTGGTATCACACAAGTGTGATACCACTTTATGCTTCCTTCCTTTTCGATTGCCTTTAGAGGTACCATCTGCTGCTAAAAATGTTGACCAATTTCTCTGCAAGATGCTCCAACTGCAAACCTGTACGTATTTCATACATAAATTGGATTAATTCGCCAGCCGCCCAAACATGTTTGACATGCACCCAAGTGTGAACAATTCACAGGGAATGAAGGAGACAATTTGAAGCACGGAACGCATTTTTACCGCCATTTTTGCCCTGTTAAACCCTTGGTTAACCGTTGTCTTGGTTCATGGCGGTACTCAATAATGATAAATCTGGGCCTTTCGAGTGTCCAACTCACCCAGATACCTGGCGAGGCTATCCTAATGCTGCCATACAGAGCTTTGGGACAGGCCTGACGCGGCTAAAACAGAAGTGTTTGATGGCGAAATTCTGCCCTCTGGGGGGGGGGGGGGGGTTATCATGCACACCTCTTACTTGTTTCGCATTTTAATCTCGCAGGTTGGTGGCCATGATTGATATTGATATTTGGGGAGTGCGTGTTTTATGCTTGTTGAATTTTCTGTTATTTTGTTATTGAATTCCTTTGCTTTGTTTTGCTCCACGTGTTGTGAAAGGGAAGTGAAAGATGCAGCATCAAATTATTGGTGTTAATAATTGTTTATGCCCATAATACCGTCATTAAATTACTATGCTTTAACACGCGTCGGCTGGCCGGCTAGATACCCTTCGCTCGAGTGAGGGGGGGGGGGGGAGAGGGAGGGGGGGGGGGAGGGAGGGGGATGAGGGTCAAATTTGGCCCTGAGATTTCGGGAAATAAGAAAAGCTAGATACACCAAATTCACAGGGTGTCTGACTATACGTGAACTCACTCAGGTTAAGGTTTTCAGCCTAGGTCATTGACCTTCAGGTCAAATAAGATCAAATAGGTTAAATTACAGGTTGGATTCCAAAGCGCCCCCAGAACCTAGGCAACTGTCTTTAAGCAAAAGGTTACAAACCCATTTGAGGCCATTGGCCTTGTTTGACGTTTTGAAGGTCATGGTAACCAAAAGGACACAAGACTGCTCTGAGTTTTTGCATTTGAATAAGCGACAAAAATCACGCTAGGCAGCATGTTCCTAAAACAAAAAGTTCGACCCAGGTCATCTTAAGTCAATGACCTGTTCTGACCTCTAAGAAGTCAATGGAAGATGTATAATGCGGTTCCTGCAGTCAATTATTTCGCAATGAGCGCCACAAATTATCCCATACAGCAAGCCCTAGAGCAATAAATTAGGTTCGTTTTTTACCTTGGTGTGACCTTCATACCTGACCTTAGGTCAACTTAATTTGCTCATTTAATATTTGTGGTGCCTAAGAAAGCATCTCAGAGATGTATGGATTCGTCAAACACTCCGTGGTTGTATCAGATTGAACGATTCCCTATAAATTGCCTTCGCTAAAACCGTGGCCTGACTTTGACCTGTCATAGGTCAGCGACCTTACAAGGTACATCTAAAAATGTTATGTCAAAAGATCCGCTATGCAATCTTCTACAGCTATGCAAAATTTGGCATGGCTACACAGCGCCGTTCAGAAACCATTCGCGAAAAACCCTCGGGTGGGGTCGGGGGTCAATTTGACCCCCACCCCAGCGCGTGTTAATGTGTTCTGTTTCACTCTACTGGCCTAAGATGTTGAAAAACAAAATACATTTGTAAGGTTCCTGATATTGCATCCATGCCAACTTAAAATAGATGTCCTTGTTTGCTGAAGCATCAGTCACGAGCTCACAACTTCCATCTTTTGTGAATTGATATTTTCACTCCCCCACGGTCTTTTTGCGATGCAATTTTTAACTCCCACCCCATTTCCAAGGCGATTCTAGCTCCCTGGCCGATACAGGACGGCACAAGCGGCGGCCGTGCGCTTCACCTGATGGTCCTCAAGCTGATGGTTCTCAGGCCGGCTCTCCGGGCGCCACATGCGGTCCGGCCGCGCCCGCAGCCTGCAGAGCCGGCACCTGGCTCGGCTCGCTTCGGGCATCCATCAGCCTCGGCATTCCACAGGGACTTACACCATTTGTCAGCGCACTGTGGCCGGTGCCTCGGGCCACATGGGGGCTAGGTCCAGTCGGAGATTTTCGTGGAAAACCGCGTGAGCGCGTGACGCAAAGAGAAAATGAAAATGCGCGCCACAACCAAACGCGCAAGGGCCTGTCTGTCAAAACGGCCATCAGTGACTCGCAAAAACATAAACTAATGCGTTTACACCAAGAAATCCATCATAACAGCCGTTTAAATCCCAACCAATAAATGAAAGCACAATACCTTCTACAACATATCGAGCAGGTAGAAAAGTGAGGCCATATTTGGGCAATACAAAAGCTTGCACGATTGGTTGTGGAAGGAAAACACAGGTCCAATGTCCTTCAAGCAGCTATTCACTTGATTGGCAGAGGACGCTGAACTAATTCTAAAAATATTTAGCACAGTAGTTAATCGCACATCAGCAGCAAGAAACGTCGGGAATTCTGTAACAGCATTCCCTTATGTGTGACCACAAACAGCCGACTCGTGCGGGCTGATTTTCTCACAGGGCGTTGGCGAAGAATGCCATGCGAGAAGTGCTGGGGAACTTGCTGGACTTCCACGTGAATCGCCCATACAATGGTCAAAAGATGCTGACACGTCTGTCAAAACTGTGATATCGCATCTCGACAGGGCGACGTTGAAGAAAATTACGCCATCGAAACGAGCACCCTTTAAAACCCGGAATTTGCGTGCTAGTGAAGTTATTTCAAACACAAACAAATATCAGTAAAGTTGGCACAACCAGAATGTTGGCAGTCATCTCTATGTGATAAGCCTTCATACAAGGCAGTATCACAATGGAAGTGAAGGCCCAAAGCAATTCGAGCGCTATGGGAATGTAACGCAACTGGCATAAAGAATTGGGAACAAATTACACTGTTGAAGACTTCTCGTCCGAAATACGGCTAGAAGCGCTGGAATACATCAGGATATCACCAGGGCGGTACAAATGCGAAGAGCTTGCAAAACCACCTGATGTTAGATCAAAGTGGTGAAGGTGACATGCCAGATCATGCAAATAAAAAGAAAGAAATGGAAAAAGCGATCGAGAAAATTGAGCGTCGGGCGGGGGCGCGCGTTGGCGCGTGCTGGCCGCTCGCGGGGCGCAGCAACGCGCCCGGGATGAGCGACCAGACTGCGATTGCGACAATGAGTAGACTTGCATCGCAGTAAGCAAAGTTGCCTGAATTATGAAGCCTGAGACATGACGATAATTTGGAACAACAGAAGGAAAATAGCGCGACCCACCAATCGGTCAGGCACTTGCTATTTGAGCGAGCTGCGCAACATAGGTTCAAAAACAGCCATCTACACCACGCATTATGCCAAACTGAAGCTGCCATGTCCGGGCACAGCGGGAGTTGCCTGCTGCCGGGTCAGGTGGCCACTGCATCACTGCGATCAGGCGGCGCACTGCGGCCACGCCCACCGCCCGTGTCGCGTCACGCTCCCCCAGCCCGGCCGAAGCGTGCACGCCCCGGACGGCGGACCCGGCCACCGCGCACGCCCGGCCCGACAGTACGCACGGCGGCCGGCCGGCGCATCCGCTCCTTACACGTGGACGACGCGATCGAGACGATGGACGGCCGGCGGCCCTCACGCCGCACCGGCGTGATGGGCAGCGAGAACCGGCGCACGCCCGAGCGCCGGTTGAACTTGGAGGCGAACTGAATCTGCGGACAGACAGCGGCATGGGTCAGTCCGCCGGCGGCGCGCTGCCGCTGCCGGTGCCGCCATGGCCAGCCGACGGACCTGGCCCTCTCCCTGGCCGCACCCTCTCCCTCCCCGCCGCCGCCGGTCACCCGTCGTGAAGCCCGCACACGCGCGCAACTCCGCTACAACGCCGACTTTGAGAGTAAATTCGGCCGCGGCTCGCTCCCCGGCGTGCATGCGTGAGTGATCCAGCGCAGCCGCTCGCGGCACGTGCCACCGAGCCGAGATGAGCGGCAGAGGCTGTCCGAATTTGGCCGCGGCGCGCCGCCCGACGAGCATACGCGAGTGGTCGAGCGCCAGCCGCGCCGCCGCGGTCGAGATGACCGGGCAGCGGCCATCACCCCCCGAGAGGGGCCGACCCAGCCACCTGATGCAGATGAGCGGTGACCGTATCGGAGCGCCGACACGCCGGCACGCGCCATCAACCGATGCGATGCGATCACGCCCGCAGCTATTAGCGCCGGCTGGCTATTGTGACGGCAGATGTATGTAGGAACAGCGGGCGGCAGGCCGATAGTGGCTGTCCGACACTCTGTGCTGCAGTCACCAGAGACTACATGCATGGCAAAGCCTTTTACGGCGTGAATCATTCGTTCTGCGCGTAACCAGAGGCTACATGTGGTGGCACCTGTCGCGGCAGGGGCTCCCGCACGGGAACAGTCCGTGATAGAGCGCCACTTGCGGCGGCAAAAGCTATCCGCGGTGGCGGCGGTTATCAGCCGTGACAGCATTGTGTCAGCAGCTATGTGTGGCAGCTCCAGCCATTTGTGCCGACAACTAGACTGCCTGGGACGGTAACTTTCCCCATGAGGCAGCGGACTTGTTACGTGGTGGCAGCAGCTACTGATATGAAAACGTTCTGCTGACGCAAGATTTGCGCCGAAAAACTTGAGTGTGAAAGTATTTGTGGGTAGTAAGTCCTATTGACAGCTATTTCTGTTAGCACACGCTAACTGGGAAGGACGCGCAGATGCCGGGACGTTCTGTCCAGAGGAATCAACTAGCAGTGCCGGTCGCTTGGATGGCTGGCCGCCCCGCTTACCCGACCACCAAACTTTCTAGGTGCACACATAAAGCCATCAGGGCTGTATGTGTGCACCTAGATGGGATGGCACCATCTTCCCAGAGGTGCCAGACCATTACTGATGAAGCCGAGCAAACAGCGCTAATTGGCGAGTGTATGACTGCAATGCGCCGAGCATTCAGGCTGGAGAACGCATAAAAGGCCAGCAGCAAACGCAGAACCTAGCGCGGCAGCAAACAGGACCAGTTTGGCGCGTGACGCGGCTAGCATGGCTGAGTTAGCAGGGGTTCGCCTCGCACGGTCGTCTGCACTCCGGGTCCCGGCCACACCCACAGCCGCCCGCTTCCAGCTGCGACCTCCGCCCCCCCCCCCCCCCCCCCCGCCCCCCCCCCCCTCCCCCCCCCCCCCCACCCCCCCCCCCCTCCACCCCCCCC